ATGGCAGGTTGTTCCCAAGGTTGGGTATTTTTGTTAGCCGTGCTAGTATTGGCATTGAGCACTCCATGTTCACAAGCATATCTGAAACACAAGAAATTTAAGACCAAGACTGACGTTTACCTCTCCCCTAAGTTTGTGTTGGAACCAGGATTAAGTTCCAACAAATACTTCTACAACATTCAATTCCCAAAAGGTCACATTGGCATAAAGAGTTTCAATGCTGAAGTAGTTGATGCAGAAGGGAGATCTACTCCTCTAAATGAAACCTACCTCCATCACTGGGTTGTGTTAAGATATTACGCTCGCAAAAGTTACGTGGAGCCAAAGCAGCAGTCTCCCTTTCAGCTCTCGGAATCAGATGTTATTTGGGTGGAGAACAGTGGCGTGTGCCAGTCTGGTTCTCTTGGACAATATTACGGGCTAGGGTCCGAAACACGGAAAACAGCCACACATGTTCCAGGCCGTTATGCAATTGAAGTTGGGGATGGTAAAGGACTTCCTGATGGGTTTGAAGAGAGATGGATGGTCAACGTGCATGCAATTGATACAAGAGGAGTGGAAGATAACTTGGGTTGCACTGAGTGCCGGTGTGATTTGTATAACGTGTCTAGGGATCCAAGTGGCCAGCCTCTGCCGGCTGGGTACACCGGGGGTTTGTTATGTTGCACTGATGGTGCAAAGTGCAGACTGAAACAAGGGTTTGATGGTGAAAAGATAAACCACTACTTGAGATATACTGTGAAGTGGGTTGACTGGTCTGAGTTTCTTCTGCCTGCCAAGATTTATATCTTTGATGCCACTGATATCATGAATTCTTCGGCACCTGCTGCATCTAAACACAATTGCCAGGTAATTAATTAATGAACTTAATTATGCATAACATCCTATGATATGTCGTTGTATATACGACAATTTGTTCTCTTATCAAATATAGTTTCTCTATATTGTTTAAGTTGCTAAATTTGTCAAGGAATTAACATAAGATACGTTGTCAGATTGTGAATTTGGTCTTTATTATGATGTTTAAATGTTAATTTGTGCTAGTATGTGTGGTTCATATTTGCAATCTGACAACCTATATAATTCTAGTAACAAAAAGTTAGCATGTGCGTTGCATTTTTTTTATGGTTATACTTCATTTACGATCCAATATCTATATTTATATTTCTTTCATTTGTACAGGTCGAATATGATGTTGCAAAGTCTTGCAATGCAACCGGTGTTTGCTTAGACAACAAATGGGCAAAGATTACAATGCCAACTGGTGGTTATGTCATCTATGGTGTAGCCCATCAGCACAAAGGGGCGCTTGGTTCAACACTCTATGGACAGGTGCTTTTAATTTGGTTGTTAATCAAATTAATAATTAGACAGTGTCATTAACTAATCAGTTGACTAATATTCTTGTTAATTATTAATTTGTGATGGTGATTACTTTAGGACGGAAGGGTTTTGTGTTCGTCCACACCAATGTATGGAAATGGAACGAAAGCAGGAAATGAGGCCGGTTATATTGTAGGAATGACGACTTGTTACCCTTGGCCAGGCTCAGTCAAGATAAAAAATGCGGAGTCTCTGACTCTAGTTTCTAGTTACAACAGCACTCAGATGCACAGTGGAGTCATGGGTCTCTTCTACATTTTGGTTGCCGAAACACTTTGACTACTATACGTTATGGACCGCTCTGTTTATTATCGATAGATAAGTGTAAATTTTGAGATTTGTGTTTATCTGCTATACAGATCTCGAAATTTAAACTTATCTAACGTCATAAATATGGTGGTGAACAAAAATATTCCCATTATTGGTATATATATGTACGCGTTATGTAGGGCATCTTGATTATATCTTCTCTTTTTGTATTTAACAATTTGATCTTTGTACGATCATGTTCATGTGTTTGGTGAATGTGTGATGAATAAAAGCTCGATTCTGCTTAATAAATTGAAAGATTGGCATAAATATTCATGTGATTGTTCAGGCTTCAATTGTTTTCACTAAGTTTTTAACTTTTTATGTTTTACTGAAGCAAAACTTTTCACTTCTGTTCATACATTATTTGTAATTCTAATCAATTAGAGAGGGATTGGGGGTGGTCAGGGGTGGTCAATCATAGAAATTTCGAATTCAAAATAAAACATTTGTTGTAGTCATCCACAAGAGTGGCACACAAGCAACCTCGTCGTTGTCGCTGCCGTAGTAGTCCAAGGCATCCTGGTCGCTTTAGAAGCCGTTGTCGTATTCCATGGACTCGATGTCTTTGGCGTCGTGCATATCATCCTCGGAGTCCGTCACCGTCCGACCACAAAACCCTAACGGCGGTCGGAGGAGGAGGAGAGTTTATGGGTTGGTGAGAGAAAACAACGGGAAAATTCGATGTCAGAACCGGATGAGAAAATTGGAGAATTGTATTCACCTCTTGAAAAACGTGGAATGAACTCATGATTCATTATCTCTAAATTTGTAAATACTGGTATTTGTGGCATGCGGTAGTTATTTGGTACTTAGAGACACCAAAATTGACTTTTGACATTCTATTAGTAAATATTATCTGATATTCTCGTTAAGTAAATTTTTTCTTGAGTAGTAAACAAGTTGATGCCTGTAAAGAAACTTGACAACTTGAAGATGAGTTGATTAAAAATATTTACTCATGTGTACTCCGTTTGTTAAATTCGATTACTACTTCTCATCAATCATATTGTTCGAGTAGCGTCAACAAATATCAAAATTATATATGTTATATCAAACAAAGTATTGTAGCAGTAGTTATAACGACAAATTTATCTAAAACAAATAGCAACATAATTAACAAGCAAGGTTACTAAAAAAACTCAAAAACTTAGAGATTAAGGTAATGTTCTGTTCTAAAGACAGAATTTCGCTCCTAACAATGAACAATTTGTTGCAAAGTCTTGATTACGAATATATAACTCCAATTGAAACAACAAAACAAAACCAATTGCACCGATTGACGGTAAAAACAACCAATTTTTCAATCAATTAATATTAAATAATTTACAACACCATTTCTTATATAATATAAAAATAAAAAGTAAGGTCCATGCCTAAATAAAAAAAATAAATCACACAAAAATACCTTAGCCCATCTGAACAAGGTCCGAAAGTGTTTATTTACTATAGTCCAAATTTTTGTGATATGAAATTATTTTGTTGTCGATGAAGGGATCTTCTTAGGTTCGGCTTGTTTTGTACTTATCATACTTAGTCAAGGTTTATAGGGACTTTTAAGTACCAAGGACTTCAATCTAAGTGGGACTCCTTCAAAAGTTAGATCTTTTGTAGACTCTCTGTTACCTTGTATTTTTTACACAATATTTTGTAATATATTATTAGAATTGACAAACTATGAAGTGGCAGATAGTTCATAGAGAGCCACTTTTGAAAAGTCCCCTTAGTATTTCTCAATCATGTGATGTGTTACCAATAATTAATATGAAATAAACACGTTAATCAATAATTAATTAATAATCTAACCATCACAACCACATTATACTATTTATAAATTTAATCTAAATAGTGGATTTGCCTAGGATTTCCTGTATTAGAAAACCACAAGTGCACTACGTTGACATTGGTTAAACAAAAGACTTTCTAATTGAAAGACAAATAGATGTCATTTGTTACCTAAAATTGAACTAAGCTGCATATTAATTGGCAAATATGGCATTTTTTTTTTTTTTGGGCCTACATATTTTGGAGAGTGGCGGCAAGTTCTCTTTCTCGTATTTTAAATTTAATATAAGAGGAGACAAGTTCATTGTCACGTGATGTTCTAATTTAATAATGCAATATCATGCTGTGAAAGATTTCACAACATTATTTTATTTGAAAATGATATAACTTAGGAATTTAAATTTTGAGGGTCTGCAAAATTGTACTTTAACTTAAAATCATCATATTCATCATTGTTGAATGAATTTAAATTTTGAAGATAATAAGCAAAAATGCGCGGTAGATTAAAACCATTCTATGGTTTTGGGATGTCCGAAGTATTCATTAACTAGAATCCAACCTTTGTGTACACCAAGTCATGGGTTGGTTTCCGCAATAAATATGCGGGGATGCTTCGTATGCCAAAATAAGGATAAGAACTAGTGATCTAGCCATGCTGGAACTCGGACCTCCATACAAAACTAAGCAAATGATGGGTTTCAAAAAAAAAACTAAGCAAATGATAAACACCACACACGTGTTTTAGGTTTTTACACACAAGAGATTGGGTTTAATATTTAGTAATTTCAATTGATTTATTCAATTTAATAGTTAAAAATAGAAAATATATATGTGTAAAGAAATAAAATATATATATATATATACACACACACAAAATCACTTGCCTAAATAAAAAGATGGTCAAACTTTTATAATTAATTCTTATGCATCATGACGAAGAAATCATATTTTAAATGGTATGTCATTAATAAAAATAAGTACGTTTATTAATATTTAAATAATAAATTAATCATTAATTTTTATTTTTTTTTAGTGGCTGATAAATAAATTTCACTTTTAATAATTTAAAAAAAATCAACTATTAACTCAAATATAAAAATGTAGTTTCCCTGATATTACCATTTTTGGTATTATTTCTGCCCTGTGTTATATCTGGTGTGAAGGAAAATATGGTAAAGGCAAAGGAGAGAGGATCCTCTTTGTGAGGATTTCAGGACCTCTAATTACATATATTTATTGTACATTGTACGATTATTTTTTATCATATTCTGTTTATATTTAATTTTAAATAAAAAAATGTATAATTATTTCTAATCGTACCGTGTACGATAAATGAATATATTTAAAGAATCTTCAGAATCTTCCCAAAAATATCCAACAAGAGCTCTCCTGGATGGCAAAGGTGCCATAAAAGGGAGCGACTACAGAAGTAACACGACACGCCGTAGATATCACAACACGTCATCGCTTCCGTAATATGTCCAGCGGGCGACGCCAAGTAACACAGTGAGTCAACACACTCGCGTTTACAGCACTCTCTCAAGTTTTCTCTCTCTAAAATCTGTAGGGTTTGAACGGCCGGGCGGGCGCACACTCGCCCATACACTCATAATCCACGCTATAAAAGTAACGTCTGATTTGTATCAAACGGATTATAAGTCTCCAACTTCTTATCTCAGACTCGTCTTTTCTTCTGGTACTCTCTTCAGCCTTTCCTCTTTATGTTTCGTATACGTTTGTTGATTTGTAGATTAACCCTTATGAAAAAATCGCAAATTCGATAGAGAAAGTGATTTTCACCCACTCATGTTTGTTTTTAGCGTTTAAATGGAATAAATCAAAGAAAAATTAAGAGACGGTGAAAAGAAAAAAATTGTGCAGAATCATGCAGTCCTTACTTTTTGTTTAGTGTTTTGATTGGAGTGTGAAAATTTGTATAGTCAATAATTTTAAATTTGAAGAGCTGTTATCGACACTTCAAAAATATCACTGTTTCACTTCGAAGTGCAGTTTTTCCCTATATTTTTATATGGGATGAGTGTACGATGACGTTTTTGGATCGCTAATAACATTGCTTCGTTATGATTCGGAGCGTGGAATTTGAGTTTTGAGTTTGTGTGTGAGTATTTTGGTTGTTTTGGCAGAAAAAATGGCAAGCTGTTTTCAGGGTTGGGTGGTTTTGTTGGCTATGGTAGTATTGGCATTAAGATCGCCATGCTCACATGCTCTTAGGATTGTCAAAACTAAGACAAGAACTAGTGTTTTTGTCTCCCCTAAGTTTGTGTTGGGACCTGGATCAGTTGCAGACAAGTATTACTACGACATCGACTTCCCGAGAGGTCATATTGCAATCAAGAGCTTCACTGCTGAAGTAATTGACGAGGAAGGGAATCCGATTCCCCTTCACGAAACTTATCTCCATCATTGGGTTGTCGAGGGGTATTATGGCCGCGTAGGTTCCGTGGAGCCGGAGGGGACCCGTGCTGAGGAGCTTCAAAGGTCGGATTTTATTTTTGTGAGAAACAGTGGAGTGTGCCAGAGGACTCTCGGACAGTACTTTGGACTTGGGTCCGAAACACGGAAAACAGATACACATGTTCCGGATCCTTTTGGAATTGAAGTTGGGAATCCAGCAGTGACTCCTGCTGGCTATGAGGAGAGATGGATGCTCAATGTGCATGCGATTGACACACGGGGAGCGGAGAATGGGTTGGGATGCACCGAGTGCAGGTGTGATCTTTATAATGTGTCAACGGATTCTCGAGGCCGGCCTTTGAGGCCAGGGTACATAGGAGGTTTGTTTTGTTGTTATGATGGTGTACAGTGCAGGGTAAAACAAGGCTTTAATGGTGTCAGGAGAAACCTCTACTTAAGATATACTGTGAAGTGGGTTGATTGGTCTGATTCGATCGTGCCTGTCAAGATTTATATCTTTGATGTCACTGATAAAATGAATCATTCAGCCGGACATGCTATTGAACATGAGTGCCGGGTTAGTGAGTTTCACCTCATCGTATGATATGTTGGAATAGTATTCGCTCGAATGGCGTTTGCAGTTTTTATGAACTCAGTTTCTTTTTATGATTGAGGCTATATCTTTCTTTTGTGCAGGTTGAATATAATGTCGAAGAGTCTTGCAGTGCGACCAGTGATGGGTGCTTTGACAGCCAATCGTCATTGGCTACTATGACGACTGGTGGTTATGTCGTCTATGGTGTAGCTCATCAGCACACGGGGGGGATCGGTTCAACTCTATATGGAGAGGTGATCTTTTCTTCCACTCTTAGCAATTTGGTTTTTTCGAACCTTAAAATAATTTCTTTCGGCATATGGTAGAACTCAAAAACCTTTGAGAATTCCTGTAAGTAGTATATACCGGCTTGCATACATTACCCTTTAATATATTTGCAACCAGACTGCAACAATTTGCATCTTCCCCCACCTTGCATTTGCAAGTATGTGACCTTCATACTGTATATAGGATTTAGCTTTAATCGCTGCATTATGATCTCTTACTGCACCCTTTTTATAAAGTCAAGAGTTTCCGTCGTGTGTCAGGCTAAATTGTACTCTTCCTTGTCTCTCTTTCTTGTTGAGCTCACACATGTATTGAAAGTATGTGTCTTCAAGTAATGTGCTTGCTTGTGATTATTTTAGGACGGACGGGTTCTGTGTTCGTCAATACCAATTTATGGAAAAGGGAAGGAAGCTGGAGATGAGGCTGGTTATATTGTAGGAATGTCCAGTTGTTATCCTCGACCGGGCTCAATCAGAATAAACGATGGCGAGACTCTGACTCTAGTATCTAATTACAGCAGCACTCAGACGCACACCGGAGTTATGGGTCTCTTCTACATTTTGGTTGCTGACTACCTTCCAACTTCCTCTGTGCTTAGCTTCGACACTGCACTTTGAGCGATGCACCGTTGAACATTAAGGTTAATGAGTCTAAATAAGGCGTCTGGATTCTTTATCGCCCGAACTCAAATTCGTTAATGTACTGACATGGTTTTGTTCTTGCAGATTTCGAGTCGTATAAGCTAAAGCTGATCACGTCCTTCATCAATGGCGTCATGAACTTTTACGTTCGGGTTATGTAAAGCGTGTTGATTCTACGTCTCACCCGGCGCTGTGATATGTAGACATAACAAAGCCAATGTATCCGTTGGTTTGGCAATAATTTGAACTTCATCTTCAAGTGTTTTGTTAAATGTGGTGAACTTTGAAGCTCAATTCAGTCTGTTCAATACATAATAGAGCTTTCCCACCTTTTATTTGTGTATTGTGGTAAGATCGATGACCTTGTCAAGTAAATGGGTTTGGGAGCATGGCATCAAACTAAGACTCCCTATTTTGGCAAGGAATAAGAATAGTGTATGGCGTATACGGCTTTTTAGTCTAGCAGCACTTAATTTTTATTTTAATCTAATTTTAAGCGTATATGACTGTCGGACAGGTTGAACTCGACTTTCATCGTGTTAGAATAAATATGAACTCGACCCCTGAATTCTGGTTTGCCCAATATGCACTGCAACTTGGTTTACAAATACTATTTCACTGAAAAAAAAAATTTAATCCAACAAGAAGTAAAATTTGGGTCTCAATCTCAAATACAAGCTTAAATTTCAGTTCATAAACATTTAAATCACTATTGATCCACGACTTCAAACAAAAAAAAATATTGTTCTAAAGTTTAAATCAATTCAAATATAGTAGTCAAAATTCAAAATATGTACATTGTTTCTTGCTTCTAAATTGGTTCGACAAGCAAATGAGATAATATATTAATGTAAATTTAATTCGGGTTAGAACTCGATTTGAGTCAGATTGAACAATGTTTTACCCTAACCCAATCCTAATAAAAATCGAGTTGAGATTGATCTTGATTTGGATGAGTTTTATGTAACTTAATTCGACCGATCAACGTTAAAAATGGGATTAATTTCGAACTGATCCAACCCAAGTTTGCACCGCTCAACATTTGACGAAAAATTATAAAATCAAAAAAGGCAAGTGAAGGAGTGAAGGGCGACCAAACACGAGGAAGAATATCCACTTCCATTCCAGAGCGATTCTTCTCCGTCAGTTTCATATCATACAATCTTCCCCTCCTCCCTCGTCTCGTATTTATATACGGCAGATATAATATATATATATATATACACACACACACCCACTCGGCTGTTATATTCTGTGTTACCGTTCCTTAATTACCGTTACATTCAATCCAAAAATCCGTTCTTCAATCCACCCAATCTCTCACATTGAAGAAGAAGATGAGGTCCCATCTCTCCCAACCCTCATTTCCTCTATCCTGTTTCTATCTTTGCTGAATGGTGATGGCTGAAGAATTTATGATCGAACAACCCAAAACGCACCAACCCATTTGCCCAAAATCCGCAAATCTCATACCTTTATTGTGGGTTGTGATCGATTGATCCGCCATTGAAGAAGCTCGAAGAAAATTGAAGAAGAAGGGGAAAGAAGAATTGGGTTCTTATGTCAGGGGCAAAGCCGGCCGCGGCAGAGCATGTCGGCTTCCCCAACGTGGATGCGAACAAGTCCACCGCCATCGCCAAAGGCGAAGGATGTTGCAATCCGGTCAAGAAAAGCGGACCCATTTCGATGGATCACGTTCTTCTAGCCTTGCGCGAGACCAAGGAGGACAGGGAGGTCCGAATTCGAAGCCTTTTCAATTTCTTCGATGCTGAGGATCTTGGGTATTTGGATTATTCTCAGATCGAGGCCGGATTGTCGGCCCTTCAGATTCCGCCGGAATACAAGTACGCCAATGATCTTCTGAAGGTCTGTGATGCTAACAGAGATGGCAGGGTCGATTATCTTGAGTTCCGGCGGTACATGGATGACAAGGAGCTCGAGCTCTACCGCATTTTTCAGGCCATTGATGTTGAGCACAACGGCTGCATTCTGCCCGAGGAGCTTTGGGATGCCCTTGTCAAGGCTGGTATGCCCAACTATACTTTCTTTTGTTTCGAAATTGTGAAAATTCGCTAACTTTTACATGCTAGTTCATAGTTTCGTCTGTAGATTGAGGATTGGTTCTTGCTTTGAGGCATCGTTTATAGTATTGCTCTGATTGTAATATAATTTCCACTAGGGAGCATTGTTACCATCATGTTCTACATTGAGCTTGATGGGAATGTAGAGCTATGACTAGTATTATTTCCCAAAACTGTTTCGGAGAAAACAAAAGCGAGAGGGTTTCCTTTTCCGTAGACTTTAATTGGGAAGTTTCTTTATTTTCCATCTTATAAGCCCTGGCAGTTTTTAATTTGTAGGGATTGAAATGGATGATGAGGAACTTGCGCGTTTTGTGGAGCATGTTGATAAGGATAACAATGGAATTATAACTTTTGAAGAATGGAGAGATTTTCTTCTACTTTATCCGCATGAAGCAACAATTGAGAACATATATCATCACTGGGAAAGGGTGTTTCTTGTGGATATTGGAGAGCAGGCTGTTATTCCAGAAGGAATTGGTAGGCATGTTCATAGGAGCAGATACTTTATTGCAGGGGCTGTAGCTGGAGCCGCTTCTCGTACTGCCACCGCTCCTCTTGATCGCTTGAAAGTGGTTTTGCAAGTTCAGACATCTCGTGCTTCTGTAGTACCAGCTATCAAGAAGATACTGAAGGATGACGGTATTCTGGGGTTTTTCCGAGGTAACGGAATAAATGTTGTGAAGGTAGCACCTGAAAGTGCCATCAAGTTCTATACTTATGAAATGTTAAAGAAAGTCATTGGAGATAATATGGCGGCAGATGAGGGAGATATTGGTACTGCTGGTAGACTTTTGGCTGGTGGTATGGCAGGTGCAGTGGCACAAACTTCTATATATCCCTTGGATCTTGTGAAAACTCGGTTACAGACTTGCACTTCAGAAGCTGGAAAGAGTCCTCGGTTGAGGACCTTAACTAAAGAAATATGGATTCATGAGGGACCTCGGGCCTTCTATAAAGGTCTGTGTCCGTCACTTCTTGGGATTGTCCCCTACGCTGGCATCGACCTTGCGACCTATGAGACCTTAAAAGATATGTCAAAGACATATTTTCTTCACGATAATAGCGGTACAGTTCTCTGGTTTTTTTGTTTTTTTAATTCTCCTTTCCTTATCCTTTTCATCTCGATAACGCTCTTTCTAACATTTACTGAATTGCCTTTTAAAATCTTCACTTTTTTCCAGAACCTGGTCCTCTTATTCAGCTGGGATGTGGGACAGTATCTGGAGCTCTAGGAGCAACATGTGTTTATCCATTGCAGGTTATCCGAACAAGGTACAATTTCATGGCTGAAGTCTTCCACTACTGTGGTTGTTTATTTTTATTGAAGAGTGCACATCCGAGCTACTTGAATTTTTCACTTCTTAATTTTTGCTATTCTGATGAATTTTCTGTTGGGTTTAATATATTTATTGCTTTCCAGATTGCAAGCTCAACGTTCTAATACAGCTACTGCATATAAAGGAATGTCTGATGTATTCTGGAGAACCCTTCAACACGAAGGCTATAGAGGTTTCTACAAGGGATTGTTTCCAAATCTTCTCAAAGTTGTTCCAGCTGCAAGCATTACATATATGGTATATGAAGCCATGAAAAAGAAACTAGATCTGTAGCAAGTTGGTAACTACATTGATCTTTGTAGTTAGAAATTGTAACGGTGCTGATGATGAAGAAAAAGAAAAGGAAATGAGATTAGTAGTTAAGTAGAGGATATGATTGTTATAAGACAGATGGTATCCCACTTCAGGATACGGGGCACAGGATTTTCAATTTTGTAGTCGGAAAATTTGTTTTCCCGGATTTATCATAACTTTCAATTGAGAAACAAGGTTACAGGCACATTTGGAATTTGATGGCAAAGGTGATAGGTATTATCTTCTTCCTTTTTCTGTGTTTATTAAGACTGTATCTCTCTCTTTCTTTGGAAACGTGTGCTTGTTAGGCTATCTCATTAATGAACACAGGAAGTTTTTAAGTTTCTATTTTCCCCATCTGTTAAATTATTGCCTACAGCCATCAAGATTTTTTGTGCTATATACAGCAAGATTTTGGCGGAACTAGATGATATTTTCTCTACTAATCCATGTGGTGAAATTTACATGAGTTTCATATGTGACCTGTAGATATTTCAGCCATAATATCTAGTTGCCTCTGTACGTACCTCGGCATGATGCATCTATAGGATAAGCAAGCTGTTGTTTTAATCTTCTATTACAGGTCCTTTTAATTTGTGCCTATACGTGCTGTGTGCGAAGACCATTCTCTTGCTGTGCTTGCTTGCGGTCATTTTATTGCGTGTAATATCTGCTTCAGTTAGGAATAGCGACCACTTGGGATTGTTGCCTCGAAAACATATTTTTGAAACATCATGTTTAGGTAAATTGTAAAATTCATGTTTTGTGATCTCAACATCTTAGATGTCTGTTCTTTCGGTTAGCTGTTTAACTGTTGCACTGTAAAGTTGTAATGTGCTTGATCATGGATGTAATATCATAACTAGATGGCGTAACATACGATGTTTAACATCGTGCATTAGAATGAGTATTGTCCAGTCATTTCGTAACTTAATCATGTTCTCTTGTTGCTAACCTGTGCTGGATATGCTGTAGTTTGTAACTAAAATTCTTGGTTGCTTGCTTTGGCCTTGTATGTTCTTTAGGTAGTTGCATTTTAGCATGTAAACATTAATATCTATACGTTTGGCGATCGACATTGCATGATGTAACATGTCAAGTGCATGGTGTTTCTTGCTGTTATGCTGCAATTTGAGTTTGTGATCTGTGAACTCTAATGCCTCTATCGCCCGTGATGGATTTACGGTTGCTCGCATTTCCAGTTCCAACTGGTCGTCTTTGGCGCCCAGGGAGTCGTACAAACTCGAACACGTCTATAAGTGCAAACTGGCATTGCTAACTCCCAGCAGTAGCAGCACAAAATTGTTGAGAATGAGTTCCACATTGATGGGAGGATGAACCATTGACTTATAAGAGGTTGGGCTACTCCTCATATAGCCAATTGGTTTTACAGTGGAATCTCAACTTTCTTCATAGTATGAAAGCAGGTTGCCCCACGTGTGATGCTAAACGGCCACACGCGCTCCACGTCATCCTGTTTTGTTGTTCACGTATTAGGCTTGAAAATTCGTCACATGTGAGGGGTCGTGTTGAGAATAAGTCTTACATTGACAGGAGGAGAGACCTTGCATGGACTAATAAGAGGTTGGGGTTACTTTTTATATTGTCAATTGGTTTTACGGTGGAACCTCAACTTTATTCAATAATTAGATGTGGGTGGTTGTAAGATTTTGTGCAGAAGCAACTCATACGAACGTGAAAAGCTCCTCTACACCCGAGATGACACCAGTTGGTATCCCAAGCCATTCATGCATTGCCATGTCACATTTATTACTTAATATTTTAACAATCTTACATGGCTTCGTTTGCGTGATTGAACATTGGCACACCGACCCGCCTACATGGCATCCCAGATGCAGAGAAGTTTCTCTGTCGTTGAACAGATCAAAGATAAAGAACAACTTGCAACACAGGAGTTTTATTTAATCCTTAGGACAAGCTTAAAGTGCAGTAATTCTTTCCAAATTGACAACTGCAATACTGCAATGCTGAAAAGCTATATAAATTTGAGCCATGGAAGTAACAAAGACCACAACTGAAGTGAAGAAACTGCCATCATTTTGAAAACACACTATCAAAATTACATGGCATGCTTGTTTACTCTACTATTACATAAAGAGTTGACATGTTTAAGAAAAAAAAAAGGAAAATAAATAACGGTTGCGATTATGACGCTCCTCTTTTAGCCGTCTGCACTAAGACTGAATTTCTCTCTATTGACGAGAGGAGTGCAAGAGGCTACAGAAAGATTGTTAAAATCGCTAGCCGAAAACGAACCGGAAGAAAGGCTTTGCCTCCCCTTTGCCTCTTTGACTTGCCTTTTGTCCCTTCACATCCCATCAAGGGAGGAAGAGGGTGGGACTGATCAAGCATGTAGAAGAAGTTCTTCTACTCACATTCTTCACCATCTTCTTCCTCTTCTTCCTCCACATTTTCTAGTGCGTTTTTGCCAGAGACAGAGAGAGAGAGTGAGTGAGTGTGTGTGTGTGTGTGTGTGTGTGTGTGTGATGTTATCTGTAGGTACAAGTGTATATATAATTTGTATTGTATGAAGCTCTGAACAAGGTAGGTGGCTTCGGCAGTGGCATCCAGAATTTTACAAGTTAAAAAGGAGAAAAAGAGGAAAGCAAAGAAGACAAAGGAAACAGATCATCAAGAGAAAGAATCACATCTGTAATGGTCCCTCTTGAGCATTATTCTCTAATCGGGTAAGTGTGGTTATCTTTTGCTTAGAATATAGAATATTATCATTCTTCCTCTGCTTTCCATCAATCACAACATTAGTCTTTCAACACTTAGAGAGAGAGAATCTTTTGTATGGATTATCGCTTGTAATAAAAATTAAGTTTTATTCGCCAAATGACGTGTTGAATTTGATATGGACGGCTCACAACAAAAGCTGAGGTCATCGGTGGAACCGGATCGTAAATTGCACATTAATTAATGGGTAAACTTTCAATAAAATATAATATAAGTTAAAAAATGTATATCAAAAAAAATATTTACGGAATCACTGCCAAGGTGCTCGTCATTTTGATGTCACAATATTCGAGAAAAGTTGTATCAAACGAATCACAATGTGCCACGTATTACATAATGAATAAAATATTATGTAAGATGTAAAATTCATACAACTATAGAAAAATAAAAAATAAAAAAAATATTTTGGAACTTACCATGGACTCACTAAACCGTGCTCATAGAGAAATGACCATAAAATGTTGATTACGAGTTGAAATCAAATAGGAGATGATAGAAGCATATTTATGCTACTTAGTTATGTTGTTTCCTTGCATTTAGTGAGTTAATTACTATATATTTTAGTCTTTTAAGCTATTTTCGTATGTTTTTAGGTCCTAATGGCAAAAGGAGCAAGAAAGGGCATTTTGAAGCTAAATGGAGCAGTTTTGGGCATGGATTGGATAGCTTAACTATGGAGCAAAGAGAATGGACGAAATTGAAGTCAAGAAGGGCTAGGAATGGCTACAAATCTGGAGAAAGAAGTCCTAATGCAAAGAAGATAAGGAAATAGCAAGAAATAAGGAACCTTATCCAACCTTATCTTATCCTATCCTAACCAACCTTATCATTTCCTAACTCTAACATTATCCTATCTTATCCTATCCAAATCAGGTTAGGACTTAAATCTAGCTAATTAGAGGGGATTAGTTATACATTTAAACACCTAATTCAGATTCTAGAAGCATAAACCCTTTGTATGCCGCATGTAGGCCATTCCTTGTAGGTTTAGGAGTTGTAATCCTTCCTCTATACCTATGCCGTGTGTTCTTGTCCCTTTAGGTTTAGGAATTTTCCCTAAACACTCTTTCTGGAACACCTTATCTTCCCCTTACAAGTGTGCCGCACCTATCCTTCTAGAAGGCCCTAAAACCTAGCCGTGTACTCCCTCTCCCATTCCCCTTTGGTTTCTACCAAGACTTAACCCTTTTCCCATGGGATTGTGCAATCCTTTTCCTTCAGAAATTGTGCATAATTAGCCTATAAATACAACCCTATGCCGCACCATTCAAATCATCCATTCACTCATTCATTCATTCATACTTTCAGCCATCAAACACCACAATTCACCCTACATCACCCTAGTGCTGCAAGCAAGGAAGGAAGGAGAGGAGGACTTGTGCAATCTGCCATCCAATGAGGGTTCGAAATCTGCCATTGGAGTGTGGAGTGTTTCTAGGTGTATTTTATCCTTAGTTTTAGTTCAATGTTTATATTAATTTGGTTTTCAATTATGATGAACATGTGGAACTAATTTCTTTTTAGTTAGAGGTGAATTCGAAGCCATGATTATATGTTTTATATGAATTGATTATATCCAGTTATTGTTTCTTAAGGCATGAATGTGATTTGCTTATCTAAGTTATTAAAACTTGTTTATGTATGTGGGTTGGGGGTCAACACTTAATTTGCATGCATGAATTTGATGCTAGAGTATAAGGGAGTTTCACATAATAGTTATTCACTTATATTCATAAGTAGTGGAGGTTGCTAGTCACAATCGTGTTAAGTAAATCCGTGGTATGAGTCTCATGTGTTTCATAGTGATGAATGCCTTGTCAATGCTTATGATTTTCACAAAACTTAATGACTTTTGATATGTATCTCTATCATGCGTTTCATATAGGGAACTTGAGAAAGATAATTTGGTTGCGATGCGTATTCCATCTAATTCAATGAAATAAGGAAAATCTGATGGTTAATTGTACGATGCAATTAACTTGGGGTATTGTCATTCATAGTCTAAAAGAATAATAACTGGAAATTGGTTCATATGCATATATCATGTGTGGAGGAGGACCCTCTAACTAGCCTTTCACCCATTTAATTCACCCAAAGTCGTTTTTACAAAGTGTTTTACATAAAGTTTCTGTTTTAAGTTTTAAATTCGTCAAACACAATCCCCCTTTCATTTAATCTTGTTATTCGAGTCAAAATCTGTTTTCTTTGAGTCTTTTGAGTCAAGTTAAGTTTTATTTTCGTCCAAATCACTTGTTGGGTCTAGTATTGAGTCTTTTTTATTGTTGGTTGTTGTTTTAAGTGTCTTAAGTTAATTTTGAGTCTATAGAGTCTAGTTTAGTGTTTTTGAGTCTTATTTGTATTGATTACCATCCCTAGTTAATCCCCGGTCTAGAACGATCCCTACTTATATATCTACTACAATTGTCACAAATAGGATTTAATTTGTGTGTCAAGTTAATTTTCACATCAGGAGAATTTCGAAAATGATACATTGGGTAAGGTGCTTGTCATGTTATATGATACACATGTACAAGTTTCATGATTTGTTGCTTGATTGCACCTCCATGGCCAATTACTATGTTCATGACACTGATTTGGTATATTGAACATACCACGTCAAAGATATTGCATTCCCAATCACATACCAAGCGACCAAAATATTTTTTTGCATTTGTAAAAATATTATTTGTTAATTTTAAATTCATACTCTAACTATACATTAGTGGGTATACGTCATTTAATAATCCAAACGACGAATACCCATTGCCAAATCATAGAAAACGCAATCACGAGCGGTTGCATATTTTGTTTTTCTTCACATTTTTCACACTTATAAATTAATTATTGTGAACTTTTGAATGTGCTTCGTAGATTAGGCAAACAGAGTAGGTCAGAGGTGTGTTATTGGGTTAGATGCAACTTCCTTCCCCTTTCCTTGATTCACCAGCTTTTACTTGCAAATTATACAGGTCTTTAGAACTCGATTCTAACGATAAATTCGGTTGATCACAGCCATTGAATCTTCGTCTACACGGATCGTTCGCATATTCCGTCCACATGAGAGAAACGCTCGAGATGAGATAACAATGGAACACAAGAGGAAAATTTGGAATTAGATTTGGTCTTTCTTTTTATGGGAGTGGACTTGCACCATCCATTTGTGAGAATCTATGTCCAAAGTCACTAATCCACTTAACTCTAAACCAAAGCTAATATTTCTTATAGATAAGGAAGACCTAGTGCTAAATGCTTATCAATAGGCAACAATTAGACTTTAATCTTACTTTAGACACTCGTTAGTTCCCTTTATATACTAGTATTTGCCACATTCTACACTACATTTATGCTATGTGCAATAATTGAGGATATTTGACTTATTCTTAATTCCAAAGTGTAATTGTGTAGGCCTTGTCTTTAAATAATAAAAGTCCCTAATCAAATTCAGCATAAGTTACATACAAAATAGAAATTGAAAAGAAGATGCATGAGCTCATGTTGTTCATCACTTTGCATATGCCTATTGGAAATGAACCCACCAATTGCCTTCAATTTTAAGTCACATAGAGCATGAGCTCCGATTAGTTTACTTATAGTTTATTAGTGAGATCACTGTGATACGAGAAAGACTTTCATGCAGGAAGAATGTCAGTGTAATGATATCTTAAACCAATCATGCACTAATATTTAAAAGAGTTAAACGCATGACAAGTGAGTGATTATTACAGAATACCACCAAAATTACAATCCCTATTGTTTGTAAGTTTCTCTACATCGTAAACACTAAACACTTCGTTATCTTGGCACTTGATATATGTGATGTTATCATTTTAAAAAAAGTTCTAGAGTTCTAAGTTCTAATCCTTCGTTTTCGTTTATTGATTCATTTTGAGCTAAAGTTGGACTGGACTAGGTCAGACAATTTCTGACACAATCTGTTAACCTGACACAATACAAAATTAACAAATTATTAAATTGACACGATAACAAATCAGGTCGTTATCGGGTAATCCATTTTCAAACTCGGGAACTCCATTTTTTGTTGTGGTATAATTGTCACTGTTCATCAAACGCTTTCCCACACAAATGTACAAAAGACGTGGACGTGCCGGAGTGGTTATCGGGCATGACTAGAAATCATGTGGGCTCTGCCCGCGCAGGTTCGAATCCTGCCGTCCACGCTTTTTTATTAAATAAATATTTTACCGCCATTTCCTTCTTTTTTTGTTCTTCGATTCTCTGACTTCAAAAACAGAATGAGCGCCAGAGCGAATCAAAGTGAATGAACGCCGCCAATGCCACCACCATCGCCGCCGCAATCAAACACTGCAAAACCCAAAAACAGCTCCTTCAACTCCATGCCCGCACCATCACCAACCCCTCTCTCACTCCACCCGATTTGATCATCCCCACCCTCCTCCACGCCTTCATCTATCTCCTCCCGCCCTCCTCCTTCCCCCCTGCAACCGCTTCGCTCAGATATGCCGTCGCTCTCTTCAACCGCATCCAAAAACCATCGACCTTCTCCTTCAACAACATCATCAGAGCCCACACCGCCCTTTCCTCCCCTCTCTCCGCTCTCCGCTTCTTCGCCCGCATGCGCCGCCTCTCTCTCCCTCCTGACTTCCACACCTTCCCTTTCGCCCTCAAGGCCTGTGCCCATCTCGGGTTTTCTGCATTCTCCGTCTCCCAAACCCTTCACTCGCAATCCCTCAAGTTCGGATTCGCCTCTCATTTGTTCGTTTCCAATACCCTCATCCATGTTTACTCAATCTGCCATAATTTGAGCCACGCGTGCAAGGTGTTCGACGAAAGTTCCCACAGGGATGTTGTCTCCTACAATGCCTTGCTTGATGCCTTTGTTAAGGCCGGTGAGATTTCGAGAGCACGCCAACTGTTTGAAGAAATGCCTGTCCGAGACTCCGTCTCATGGGGTACTGTTTTGGCCGGGTGTGCCCAGATGGATCGGTGCGAGGAAGTGCTTGAACTGTTTGATCAGATGCTCAGTATACGAAATAGGCCTGATGATGTCTCTTTGGTTTCTGCTCTTTCTGCTTGTGCGCAGCTGGGTGATTTGGAACGAGGGAAAATGATCCACGATTACATAAAACAAAACAGGATTCGACTGGGTTCCTACTTCCTAACAGCATTAGTGGACTTTTATGCAAAATGTGGGTGCATTGAGACCGCCATGGAGATATTCGAATCGAATCCAGATAAGAATGTGTTCACATGGAATGCCATGCTTGTCGGGCTTGCAATGCACGGCCATGGCAAGCTGACACTCGCTTTCTTCTCCAAAATGACAGAGGCTGGAGTTAAACCAGATGGGGTGAGCTTCTTAGGAGTTTTAGTAGGGTGCAGTCATGCAGGTTTTGTATCTGAAGCCCGAAAGCTCTTCAACGAAATGGAATCAGTCTACGGGGTCCCTCAAGAGCTCAAGCATTATGGGTGCATGGCTGATCTGCTCGGGAGGGCAGGTCTTATCAAGGAAGCCATGGAGATGATTGCGAAGATGCCCATGGGGGGCGATGTGTTCGTGTGGGGTGGGTTGCTTGGAGGCTGCAGAATCCACGGCGATGTTGAAATGGCGAAGAAAGCAGCGGAGCAGGTGATGGAGTTGGACCCTGAAGATGGTGGAGTGTATTCGATCATGGCGAATGTTTATGCGACTGCAGAGAAATGGGACGATGTTGTAAATGTTAGAAAATCTATCAAAGACGCTAAGAAGGTGAAGAAGATCAGCGGTTGTAGTTTGATTCGATTGGATGGAGTCACTCATGAGTTCATTGCAGGGGATTGCTTGCATCCTAAGACAGAGGCTATATATCTGGTTTTGAATGGTCTTCAGAAACATCAGTTCGAAGCCTGTTAACCAAAACAAATTTTTATTCCTTATTTTCACAAATCTTAAACAAAAGTTGAAATTTTGGGTGTATCTAGCTAATGACATTGTGTGATTGGTTTATGGATTCGTCGTTGGCAGTTTGCCTAATTAACTTAAATTAACTTTTATGCAACGGAATGTTATCGTAGGATATCTCAAACTAATGACAATAGGTGATGGTTAGAGATGCTCCATTGACAATGCTTGATTGACGTAAAATATTAACTTTCATACAACATGATTGACATCGTAGCTATCTCAAGTCAATGACAATGTGTAATCTGTTTGTGGTGCATTGCTAAAAGTGCATGATTCATGTAAGATACTAACTTCCATATCGCGTCAATATTATTGTAGCGTACCTCAAGTTAATGATAGTGCAAGATTAGTTTTGAACGCATGATTAACTTCAGGGCTTGTTTACTAATCTGTAATCAGATTGAGAAGAATTAAAGTAAAGAGAAAATTGAATAAGGTGAAATCAAAATCATATTCATGTTAAAATTCTTTAATAAATTGTTAGGAATCAGAATAAAAATAACATTTATCAATATTTTCTTCCCTTTTGATTTTGGTCATGAAACCTGCATAATCCCGCATGCCATGAAACGTGTCCAATTCCCATTCCCCGATTCTATTCCCTTGCGTAAACACGCCAAGTATCCGCAGTAATATGTTTTGTAGGTAAGTTTTTACTGTTAAGTAAAAGTAAATGATATATAAGTAAGTTTTGTTTCAGAAAAGTAAAAGAAAAAATTGACGTGGCAGCTTCAGGAGGGTTCTTCTGACACTCTTGCTCTATTATAACTCGACACGTGTCCCACTTGCTTCTATATTGCGATACGTGGTTCCAGAACCCTCTGCGCTCTGTTGTCAGCATCCATCTTATAAGCAAGGAAAATCCAGCAGCAGTTAGTTCAAGTGAAAAAATCCATTTCTGCAGAAGATCATGGCTTTCAGATCAATGGTAAAATCTTGTTCTTTTTGTTCAACTTTTGTTTTTGTTTTTTGTTTTTTGTTTTTTTTAAGGATTTACTTACTTACCAAGAGCATCAAATGCTGCAGAATCACTGGAAACAAATGTCCACCGCCTTACGCGGATACGCCACCTCGACTTCCCCGAAGATGAAACCATACTCCCCGGCTGCCGGTGCCACCGAAAAGCCCCAACAGAGCAACTTCAAGAGGTTTATGAGGGGCGACTTCGTGCCGGTCTACGTTGTGGTCGGGATGATAGCGGTGTCGGTGGGGCTGGGGCTCCATACCGCCAAGCAGCACCTGAAGCACAATCCCCAAGTCTACGTGAAGAAGGAACGGAGAGAGACGCTGCCGGAGGTGGTGGAGCCGGAGCGAGTGGTGGAGCAGTCTGACAAGTTCGTTAAAAATTCGTTTTTCAGGAAGGTGGCCCATGTTCAGGAGTTCGACGACTACAATCACGCCGTTAAGGATCCGATCCAGAAAGATGTTTTCGCTTACAAACCCGACCCGCCCCGTTCGTGAGCCAAGACTGTCAAGGACGTCGGAGTAGACCCTGTCCATGCCCAACCCAACGCTTAGTTATCCTTTTCCTTTTTCTTTTGTTTTTTTTTTTTTTTTTTTTACTCTCTGGTTTTTTACTTGGGTGAATTTCTTGTATTTATCTTTTTTGCTTCTATGTCTTTATCGTGACTGTAGCGTACTGATGATGTTTGTTACTGTAACTCGGTACTTTGAAAAGTTATCAAACAAGATTTCCGTTTGTAATGTTGTAAAATGAAAACTGAAATAATTATCAATCGGAACTTTAGCGAATCAAAATTCTAATGTAAAGCAATCTTACATCCATATTTAGTGCGCAATAATGCAATTTCAACTCCAACTTACTAGAATCATTTAGTACTACGGTCTAGTAGTATTTTTCTTCACTTGTAAGTGAGAGTCTTAAATTCGATTTTTAAGTTATCCCAACTGTTAACTTACTGGTAAGTTATCCTTGAGGTTATCTCAAGTGGTGAATTTGAACACCTAAGAACCTTATCCCAGGGTTTTAATCCCATCGTGGTCGTTGATCTTCTTCCGGCGGCGCCTCTCAGCCACCAAATCTTTAGTAGGCAACCCTTACTTCTTTCCCTAATGATCCTGGATTACACAGTAGGATTCGCATTCGAGCAACTACCGCCATTCTTGGCACTGCCATCTACCTTGAACTAATCATCAATACCTCAAATCTTTCTGTTCGGTTGCCAACTTTCCAATAAGAATTGCGTACCATCCAAACTCCCTAATCAAATCTTTCTGATCGTATGACTTTGTTCATTCCTCTAAGCGTCTCGAATATCGAATCAATTTGACAATGTGAACAATCTGCAACAATGAATTCATGAACAAGACCGTCTACTTCTATAAGAGAGCAACCCGGCTGCTTCTGGGCACCCTCACGAGGCGTACCCTTCCTCATCCTGCTCACTTCATGCCACCTTGATGCCGAAGCATATAGATTCGATAACAAAACGCGAGACTCAAACTTTCTTGGTTCTAATTCCTCAATCTTTTTGGCTATAAACTCTGCCAATGCTATGTTTCCATATGTCCTACATGCAAAAAGCAGAGATCGCCATATAACCACATCAGGTTGGATTGGCATAGCTCCGATGAACTTCTCTGCTTCATTTAACAGATTAGCTCGACCAAGAAGATCCACCATGCATCCGTAGTGTTCAATGCGAGGAGTGAGGTTATATATTCCAGCCATGGCTCTGAAATAGTGAAATCCTTTATCCACAAACCCGCCATGACTGCATGCTGACAAGATGCCGAGGAACGCGACCTCGTTCGGCCTCACATCACTCGCTTCCATTTGTGTAAACACTTCCAGTGCTCCGACGGAGTCCCCGTTCATAGCAAGACCAGTTATCATGGCAGTCCATGTAAATACATCTCTATTGCTCATGTCATGGAAAATTTCAAGAGCCCGTTTAATGTCTCCGCACTTCGTATACATGTCAATCAAGGCATTCTTCACGGAGATGTTGGTGTAAAAGCCGATTCTTTCGCAGTATGTATGCACCCATCTTCCATGGCCTAATGCACCCGAACGCCCGCAGGCTGATATCACACAAGCAACCATTGCGGCGTCTGCTTCAACTCCATCTAATTGCATTTCCCTAAACAATTCAATCGCATCCTTGAACGAACGTGACTGAGTATAACCAGCGATCATAGAAGTCCAGCACACCACATTTTTGTCCCTAATTCTATCGAAAACCTTTCGAGCCTCATCCATGCGCCCACATTTCGCATACATGTCGATCAAAGACGAACCCAAGAAGACGTCCAAAGTGAACCCCCTTGCCAACACTAACCCATGAATTTGCCTCCCCAAATGAAGACAACCCATCTTCCCACAAGCAGTGAGAGCACTGACCAACGTCACATTATCGGGCCTTGTAAATGCAAGCATTTCGTCGAACATCTGGAGTGCGTCCCAGTTCCGATTGCTCTGCACGTACCCAGAAACAATGCTGTTCCAAGACACCACGTCGCGGACTGAAACAGGAAGCAAGTCGAAGACTTTACGAGCACAGTGAAGCATTCCGCATCCGGAGTACATCGAAACGAGGCCATTTTGAACGAAGACGTCGGTTTCGAGCCCGAGCGCGATTGCCAAACAGTGAAGTTCTTGGCCCTTGTGGGGAAGACTGAGACGACCGCATGCTTTGAAGAGGAAAGGGAAGGAGTAGTTATCCGGCAGCAAATGGGGAAAACGACGTCGCACGAGATTGTAGTGAAAGAGCGCTTCTTGCGGGAAGGAGCTGTGGCAGAAGGCTTTGAAGATGAAGTTGCAGGCGAAGTTATTTGGGTTTTGAATCTGGGAGAAGATGGCACGGGAAAATTCGAGGCGGCGGTGGGAGAGGGAGCGGAGGAGGAGCTTGCTGGAGAGGACGGAGTCGGTGGAGAAGACGCCGGAAGTAACGGCGTGGGAGAGGAGATGGTAGAACTGTCTGGGGTCGAGATCTCCGTCGTAAATTTCCAACAGAGACGGCCGTTTTGGTTTTGGTTTTGGTGCGAGGATTCGAAATGACATTGCGGCATCGCAGGCTCGTTGCCCGCCACTAACCAAACAAAACAAACGAATACTACCGTGTGAGCGAAGCAAGTGATAAAGCGCTCATAAGAAATAAGTGTGTTCGTAGACCAATTCCGAAATTACTGGCACCAGTCAACAGTATACTGTCAAAGATCCATAACAGTTTTCCTCCAACAGGAGGTCAATCACAACACGACAAGTGTTGATATCAGAGACCAATCACAGCGTGACACGTGTCAATATCAGAACAAAGCTAGAAACTCTCTTCTATAAAATGGGATTATTCTCCCACAATAATCCCAAATGTCATTTGTACTAAATTATTCACTAAAACTCACTAAATGAGAGTTTGAACCTATGTATTTGTGTAAACCCTTCACAACTAATGAGAACTTCTCTACTTCGTGGACGTGGCCAATATGGGTGAATCATGTACATCTTGTGTTGTTTGCTTCCCTGTCTACATCCATTTACATACTTATCCACACTAACGACCAGAGCAATCTAACGAATGTCATAAACTTGACACTCTCTGTTGTACCAAAGTACTCGCCGATTTTGTGCATCAACAAAGTGCTTTTTAGAGAAGCAAGTCATCTTGTGTTCATATTTGATGTTCCTTACCTTTACTATCTCTACTTATTGCTGAATCTAGAATTATAAATTAGCCATATTACGTGACTGGATGTTACTTATTACATCAATTATTATGATGAACAGTTACTTAGCATGTAATTATCAAATCATATGATTAGTTAAAATAGTTGAAAAATGTAATCTATTTGAATTTTTTTATTGATAAATAAAAGGGAAGCGATCTCGAATCTCTCTAGTACTCCTACGATTTCTATCGTTTTAGTGAGAAAAGCATTACTCGTATTATTACTCTAATTAGTTACCATATTATCACTTCAAACAAAAAATATTGATGTATTACGTAATTTTTAATATATTAATATTTCTCTTCTCAAAATTAAAAGACTCCCAAACTCTTAATAGATAGAGGAATTGGATTCTCGCAGAATCCCCTTCCTGGGGATCCTAAGAATTAACGCACACGTATTGTTGATAAAAAATAGTGCGTCTACAATTAAATATTTTTAAAAGTAAAACAACCTCGTTTTGCATGAAAAATATAAAAAATAAAAAAATTGTAACCTCACTATCTTTAATCAACGATTCGTGTGCGTTGATCTCTAGATCTCAAGGAGGGGATCCGGCGAGGATTCAATTCCATAGATAGAGACCTAAAAAAGCATAAGTGAAATTTCATCGTACAATAAAACCAAAAAAGAAATGAGAAATTTCAAATACTCATTTGGACTTTTGACCCGGCCCAGTCACGAGAAAGAACAGAACCAAAAGGTTGGTCGTAACTCGCAAGGGACGCAACGATGCGTCAAGTTTTTGACGTGGCGGGATCTCATTGGTCCATTGAACGTGGCACGTGATTTGATTGGCCGAAGCAAGTCGAAGGCAGTGTTGTGCAGATCTATATGTACGAGGCTCAGAACTCTTTCCCAGAGAGAGCGGACTCGTCTAAGAACTTCGACGAGAGAGAGTGAGAGAGATACAGAGGAGAGAGAGAGTTTTAGAGAGAGAAAGATGGTTAGGGTTCGCGGTGGTGTTCTTCCGGTGCTGCTGGTGCTGGTAGCTTGCTTTGCATTTCAGCAGTTATCTGCTTCCGACGATACGGTAATTCGAATCATCTCATTTGTAATTGCAATTTCATGATTTGAATCTCAGATTTGAATCCCAAATTCTTACCAAATTCGATTAATTTGTGAATTTAGGTATTTTACGATTCGTTTGATGACACATTCGAGGGCCGATGGATCGTTTCTAGCAAAGAAGAGTACCAAGGTCCGTTCTTTCTTTCTAATTTAAGAGAAAAAAAGATGATATCTTATATCTGTGTGAATGTTTGTATTTGTTTGTAGTTATTGGATCGGTGTATGATCGATCCATCGATCTGAATGATATTAATGGTTTCCATGTATGTTGAACTTGAATATTTGCGTTAACGTAGATGTGGGTTATGTCAGTTGACTAGGGCAGTGTGCCTGGGCCGCTTTGCATTCGTGTTCGAGTTCCCCTTGCACCCGAGGTCGGATCACCCTCCCCCTTAGATTATAATAGTTTAGAATGTTGTTTTGTATACTGTTAAGCTAATAGATTTGAGTGGAGTTAAACAACGATACAAATGTTTCGATGCGAAAATTGCACCATTTGATTCCTCCAGATGTATAATGAGATAGTTATCAGTGATGAGTCTGTATGTTTTAATGGAATTATTCATTGTGTGTAATGCCGTGGCCGCGTTGCACTTGTGTCTGAGTTCCCCTTGCACTCAGAGCTCGAATCCCCCTCCCTCCGTAGGTTATGGTAGTTTAGAATGTTGTTTTGTAAATTGTTAAGCTAATAGATTTAAGTGGAGTTAAACAACAATACAAATGTTTCGAAGCGAAAATTGCACCTTTTGATTCCTCTAGATTTATAATGAGATAGTTAGCAGTGATGGGTCTTTATGTTTCAATGGAAATATTCATTGTGTGCTTGGATTTTGTTATTGGGCCATCGTATAATTTTTGTGAATCATAGTGGCCAGGAATCATAACAGAAATATAGAATTTTATGTCCCCAGCTTATCTAATTTATAAATTTTAGCTCATCGATCATGATTTGGGTGCATTTCTTGCTGTATTTTGAGTTGCAAACTTATGGGGATGTCTAATTTGGGTTTAGGTGTGTGGAGTCACTCGAAGAGTGAGGGACATGAGGATTACGGGCTTCTTGTGAGTGAGCCTGCCAAGAAGTACGCAATAGTGAAGGAGCTTGAGAAGCCTGAGAGTCTGAATGATGGAACTATTGTCCTCCAATTTGAGACTCGTCTCCAGAACGGGCTTGAATGTGGTGGTGCCTATCTGAAATACCTTCGACCTCAGGAGGCTGGATGGGAACCTAAGATATTCGACAATGAGTCTCCTTATTCGATCATGTTTGGACCTGACAAATGTGGGCTCACAAACAAGGTTCACTTCATTTTCAAGCACAAGAACCCCAAGAGCGGAGAGTACGTTGAACACCATTTGACGACTCCACCCTCTGTCCCAACTGACAAACTTACTCATGTGTACACTGCCATTCTTAAACCCAATAACGAGTTGGTAATTCTGGTTGATGGGGAAGAGAAGAAGAAGGCAAATTTCCTATCGGCTGATGATTTCATGCCACCTCTTATTCCTACCAAGACAATCCCTGATCCAGAGGATAAGAAGCCTGAGGATTGGGATGAGAGAGCCAAGATTCAAGACCCAAATGCTGTAAAGCCAGAGGACTGGGATGAGGATGCCCCAATGGAAATTGTAGATGAAGAAGCAGAGAAACCTGAAGGATGGTTGGATGATGAGCCTGAGGAGATAGATGATCCTGATTCCACGAAACCAGAAGACTGGGATGATGAGGAGGATGGTGAATGGGAAGCCCCAAGGATCGAGAACCCGAAGTGTGTGACCGCCCCTGGTTGCGGTGAATGGAAGAAGCCAATGAAGAGGAACCCAGCTTACAAGGGAAAATGGCATGCCCCACTTATCGATAACCCCAGTTACAAGGGTATCTGGAAGCCTCAGGAGATTCCAAACCCCAGCTACTTTGAAGCTGACAAACCAAACTTTGAGCCTATTGCAGCTGTCGGCATTGAGATCTGGACGATGCAAGATGGTATATTGTTTGACAACATTTTGATAGCGAAGGACGAGAAAGTTGCACAAACATACAGAGAGACCGCCTGGAAACCAAAATTTGAAGTTGAGAAAGAGAAGTCGAAGGAAGAGGAAGATGTTCAAGGCACAGATGGGTTCCTTGCCACCGTCCAGGTTAATGTTTTGCAACTTATCAATTCTATACAGCTGTCCTTATGGAATTTATTTGATGGTTACTTGGTACAGTTACTGATGATCGTATTTCTATTTCCTGCAGAAGAAAATATTTGACCTCCTATACACAGTCGCAGATCTTCCCTTCTTGAGTTCCCACAAGCCTAAGATCGTTGTAAGTCATAAGTCTTTCGTTTATTATCCCTTTCAAGGGTGATTTTCCTGAACGCAATCTAAAATCCAAGCTTGTTTGGTGCAGGATCTCATCGAGAAGGCAGAGGAACAACCAAATCTCACCTTTGGCATCCTTATGGCGATTGTGGTGATCATCTTCACTGTCTTTGTCAAGCTACTCTTAGGCGGAAAGAAACCTGTGAGTGCTGAAGCTCCTCAAAAAGACCAAAAGAAGTAGTTGTAGCTACTGATGTTGCTTGTTGCTAAATGTCGCTTTATCTTTGTGCAGGCAAGAGTTGAGAAGAAAACCACCGGAGCCACTGCTGCTTCAAGCAGTGCAGCTGCGAAGGAAGACGAGAAGGAGAAGGAAGGTACTTCATCTGAGAGTGAGAAGGAAGGAGCCGCTGCTCCTCGCAGAAGGACGACAACCAGGCGTGAAAACTGAGGCGGAGAAGAGGGAGGAAGCTACCGATGACGATTTTCACTTCCATTATCTTCAAATTTTGAGCCTAGTTTTGTTTTTGTAGGTTATTCATGACTGTTGGCAGTATTTTTCCTTTTCTTTTTTGTTTGTGTTTTTTAGCCTTTTGTGTTGAAACAGTTAAATGCATCAGGAGTGTAAATGACTCATTAATTAAGCTGTGATAGTTCCTTTCAAGTTTCCAATGACCAAAACAAACAATTGCTTTTACAGCATGACCTTTTGTTTTTTGTTCGAGCAATATCTTAATCTAATATAGTAAAATTGGTATAGAGTTTTGGCCAAATTTGGATATGTCCAAAATTGACCATTTGGAAGTGGTCTATTTATTAAACACAACTAAATAAATTGAAAAAAAAGAGAACCGAAAAGATGGCTGGTTTCGGGAAAGTTTTGTCCCCAAACATATGAAGAGTAGGATTCTCTCATCTACAAATCTTTCTCTCTTCTAATCTTTTTTTATTTGAACGGTCATGATTAAAGCACGTCAACATTTAAGGATGACATCCTTATAAAGAGAAAAGAGGAAAGTGAGAGGATGGAAAAAATTGTTAAATGTCCTGTCTGATTGATTTAGTGTTGCACAACAAGTGACGGAGTAAGGATTTTATTTGACATTGATAAAAATGTTTTCATATTAATTACTAGCTATACATTCAATTACGATTGTCCATATCAGTAGTTTTCACAACGGTTCATTTGAGTTTGATTTTTCAGATATACAATAATCATATTCATGAGACCAGCATAATACATTAAACAATTAAACTCTCGAGTTAAGACGCAAATTTTCCGGTTAATTGTGTGAGTTTGATTCCAATTTAGAAGTAAACCCAAAGTTTCAGGTCTAAAATTGTGGAAGACCTAGCAAAAGTTGTTGATGGTGCACTCTCCTCTTAGCCATATATGGATCCAACCTTAACCCACATGTTGTTTTTCCTCTATTTAATCATGCTATTTACATGTTGTTTTTCCTCTATTGAATCATGCTATTTATATTTACAAATCCATATATCTTGGTCTTATTTTGCAGTAGAATATCTGATGCAAGCCCTAATTACTTGCAAGAACATAAACTATTTATGGTATTTTCTATTTTTTTTTAATTTCTTTGGGGTCGAGTGATATCTAGTGAGAAAAATGTGACACTGTTTGGGTCAAATCCTTATTATGTAAGGTTTCTCCTCAATGTTTTCGGGAACCTTCCGCTGAAATAGCTCACGTTTTTTCAATGAGGAGGAGCATCTTTTGTTGACATACTAACCCTCCAAACTGAAGAAACTCAAAACCTAAATGAATTCAATGAGACTACATTCTCATGTTTGGGTGGGTCTTCTGGGTTTTAAGGTGTTCTAAAAATCGGCCCAGACGTCGGTGGCCAACCACCAGGATTAACGCAAAATCGGAAGCAAAACCGGGACAAGGATTAGACAGGCGCCGAGGCGGCCTAAGCGGCCCTTGGGCGGCCGAGGCGGCCTAGGCAGGCGACTAGGTGGCCTAGGCAATCTAGGAATTTCAATTTTTTCCGTGTTCGAACTTGAGAAAGGATGAATGCTTCTGGGTTTTCTGGACTTCATGCTTCTGGTCTGTGTTCGCGAAGAAGAAGAAGATGAGAGAATTAGTTTCTCTATCTTCTTAAAGAAAAAAGGCTGCCAAGCTATTAATTTTTTGTGGCATCAAGTGCTATGGATTTTTTGTAGATAGCGATGGAGCACTCATCTCTTCCTGGACAAGGGGCAGACTAGCTGCCATCTACAAAAAATTAACTTTTTTCTCATTAAAAAAACATTGATTGTTAGGCTATCAGTTCATAGCATCAAGTGCTATGGATTTTTTAGACTTGTTAGATAAGCATTTGATTATTTTTTTAGGGTGTGTTTGTTTACCTTCATTAAGCCTCACTAGACTGGACTGAACTGAACTAATAATTAGTCCAAGCCCATGTTTGTTAGCAACAAGGACTACGTTTAATGGTATTAACCGAGACTTGCGTCGACTAAAACCTTCGCTAGAAGGTCTTAGCGAGAACCCTCCAGAACGAGCGGACTGCTAGTCCCGCTCTCTCCCTTCTCCTTCGTACCTTCGCCCCTTCGCCCTTTCGTCTTCTTCTTCCTCGTCGCACCTTCGCCTTCTCGTCTTCTGCTCCCTTGTGGGTTTCTAGCCACGTACTCTGCGTTCGCCACCAAAAGCCTACTCGAGTGGGCGGATAAGCACTGCATTCGCCGCCAAAGGCCCCCCTCACCTTAAACTAGACCTTGTATCTGTGGCAAAGGCTCTTCTTCTGAATATATGCCAATCATCATTCTTGTGCGCCCAGAAGTTTCAGATGTCATATCCTCTTAGAGCAGCAAGCTTGGTTCTTTTTCTCATGGGATTACATATTCTGGACACCCCGTAGCCTGTGCGGTTGCAATTGAAACACTCAAGATCTACATAATTAGTTGAAGGGCATTGAAGAATATGTGAATGAACTCAAGTTTAAGCACAAGTAGTTGCAACTTGTATATGTATTGATAGCTCATGATGGTGAAAAAAATATGTAGACTTTCATGTAAAAGCAAAATCCTTTCCCCGTTTTGTTTGTGAGATGAATGATATTTTCAATAAAGCATCTTTTATCTATTTAAAAAAATGTTTTTTAAACAAGAAAGTGGAAGTTTTCATAATTAAATATAAAAAATAAAAAATAAAAATTTAGTCCTGGCTAGTCTAGTACTGCATCAAACGCTTCACAATTTTAGTACTGCTTAGTCCAAGCCAAGCCAATCCAGCTTAGTCCCTGAAGTTAGTCCAGTCCGAGATAGTCCAGTGCAACAAATGCACCCTTACTATCTTATTCAGAGATTTCTTACAAGTATAATTTTTTGCAAGTATCAGTATATACTTATTTACAAGATCTATAAAAAATTTACTTAAATCCGCCTAAGTCGTCTAGACCCCGCCTAGGCGCTAGACGCCAATCTCCCGCCCGACTAGCGCCTAACGTTTTTTAGAACCTTTTTTCTTACAAAACTTCAGCTACAAATGCAACATTAAAGGGAGGAAGTGGGGATAATTATCTCCCCTCCTATGTATCTTCCATTTCATCTCCTCATAATTATGTAACGCATATGAGGGTTGTTGAACAAATTGATGAGGACAATACAATTCAAGAATTTCTTCTGACTTTCCCAGCAGCTCAACTGCCAAGTTCTACTATAGAGTCAAAATCAACCCGAGGCGTAAACTATATTTGGTGTGTAGGAGGAGTAATTTTTCGGTGTACCTGGCACACCAAATTTTTTTGGTGTACCCTCACTCATAATGGTGAGGGTACACCAAAAAAATTTGGTGCACCCTCACTTTTTGTACACCAAAAAAATTCTAATGAGTGAGAGTACACCAAAAAAATTTGGTGTACCCGGTACACCTAAAAATTTTCCGTGTAGGAGGGTAAACAGTGGTGTGGGGCCGAGTGTAGAAGAAAAAGGATTATTAAAAAAAAAGCAATAAAAAATAAATAAAATAAAGCTCATTAAACATGTGGCACAACTTTAAACCATTAGGTTCTTTTGAACCGTTTATAGTAAAAAGGGACAAGAAGGGGGAGAATCCAAGTCTAATAGGATTACGAAGGATGAGGATCCTCTTGAACAAACTCATCGGGCCGTTCATATTTTATCTAACGGCTATAAATAGAGAGCTTCTTTAAAAATTATAATAATTATAACCTTTGAATAAAATTTTAACGGTCCGATAAATTTACTCAAAAAGATCCTCATCCTTAGCTCAGAAAAGAATCCTGATCCAGTCTAATAAACCCGCTAACTTCTGCTGCAAATTTGACTTTGACGTTATATGCAGAAGTCTGCAAAACCGATTAAAAACTCACGAGTCACAAATTTTATAAAAAATAAAATTGTTGTGTTTTTAAAGATCTTCTGCGTGCGAAGGAAATAAGATGTTAAAAATTTTTGAGTGCCAATAGAGCCATCCCGTCATCTGTATACACATAAGAACCAAACTTGAAGTCAGAATCATAGATAATCTGTTTGCTCTGCATAAAAGCTTTTAGCTTTTAACCAAAATGATCATTGAGATTTGTACAACACATTACTTTGATTTCTAAGGTTCTAGAGATTTTGTCTCCCTCAATCATTTTCGTGACTGTGATTCTGTGAAAAATTTTCGTTAAATTAAAGAAATCATCAGTTCAAGCAAATGGTTTCTCAATTTTAACAGATAATTTTCACAAAAAAACCAAAATGATTGACGGTGAACAATATTAAGAACCAAAATAAGAAGCTATGTCGATCTCAATAACCATTTTTGCTAAAAAGCCTTTAAGAAATCATCTTTATAACATAAAATTTGGAAATTTATGCCCGATATATAAATAAATGAAAAACACTAATTAAATGTTAAGCTTTCTGATCGACAGACAAAATTGTCTAATTAAACGTTTACCTTATTCGAATTTTGTTAAAAAAAAAAAAATGTTCGCTCTCATCTGAAAAAAACAGACAATCCGAAGACCGAAAACAAAACTTAACTGCAACACAAGGTTCCTTTTTTCTTCTTTCTCTAAACAGCATATGATATATGCCTATAACTTAAACTCATCTTCCGCCATACTTGTTTTTGTAACTTAGCTTCCGTCAGTATTACTGTATATTCATCGCTTGCCAGCAGCTGTGGCTTTCCTAACGGAAGGAGCGTCCTCATCGTCGGACTGGATGTCTCCGTAGCGCCACATGCCCCGCCTATCGGTCCTCGCTTCTTCCTGGAACTTTTCCAAGTTCTCAATTGCCGTCTTCCTCTCCTTGGTTTCACGTTTCTTCATTTTCTCTAGCCTTGCAAGTCCTTCCTGAAAATTCCACAAATTTGAACTGATGAGATTCAGCAAGACATTACGAAAAAATAAAGTTTGAAAGATTCGGAACAAGCAATATATATTAATATATGATGAGGGTTCTGTTTGATTGAAGCATGGATATCAGTACACAATAGACTAATAAATCCTTCCTTTGATTTCGAGCAAAACGGTGGTATGCGTATCACGGGTAGGATTGTGAAGGGCAGCAGAAAAGAATTTAAAAGATGAGATTTAAAGCTACCATAACTAGAAAAAAGGGCTACAACTCAAACCTGAAGCATGGCGGTGTTCACGCTGATCTCAGCATCCACAGCAACAAGAGTCACAACAAGCACTGGTCCAGTTCCCTGGCCCTTAACTTTTCCCCCTGAAAGATCCCTTTCCTCAATCATGGCCCGAAATTCATTGGCACTGTTTAATGTGTGCTCACTTAGATACTCTGCTGCTTCTTGACCAAAGTCCTCCTCCAAGGCCGGGACTTTAACGTATGCAAGGCTGCATAATTGAGCAAGACCAGGGTGCAGAGGAAACTGATGGGTCAAGAGGCCGTATCTGGCTGTAAGGGACAAATTCTTGATTACCATAATCTATATAGAACACTTCAAACTTGTCTTTAGGGGATTCCACAGCTCCTCGAGGTGCATTGACAATCTTTGCATGAAGACATACACATATTAAAAAATTTGAAAATTTTGAAGACTGAATAGAAGAACATTCAGTGTACAAATCACATAATCAGATGCAATTGTAGTGCAAGGAAAATGTAAACTATCATGCTGCTTATGAACGTTGGTGAAACTTACTATATCAAAACTAGCAATTGTAAAACAAGAAGAAAGATTTCACAGATAAAGAAATTCATCTCATTTGCATCATATAGTTCACTTCCTGTCAAATGTGTGTAACATCAACAGACTTGCCTTCTATGAATATAGAGAAACCTATAATTTAATGCCAGATAATAAGAACATCACTTTTCCTGGAAACAAAAGACTTGAGGTAAATATAGTGTTCATCAAGGGAATATGATTATCAACTGGCTATGTTTTTATCATCCGGCCACTCTTTTTCTTGGAAAAATTGCTAGCAGAAGAATATAAATAACACATTAACAATTTATTTTAAATAGGGAAGGGATGAAAGGGAAAAAATGTATGCTAATGCACTGAAATAACTCAAGATTAAAAATTTATTACAATCGGAAAATAAAACTGATGTTTAGGGTTGTAACTCACCATTGCTCTGTTCCAAGAATTATCTGCACTAAACTGAGCAAGGACAATGTCACCCTTCTTAGGATTATAAGCCCCAATTACGGGAGCTTCTTGAAGGTTCAAAGATGCAAGCTGTTGCTGAATGGAGGCAATTTTCTGATCCCCAATTGTCTGAACATAAAATTTACCACTTCCCAAAACCTCTGTCACCGCTACCTGAAAGTAAGGAACAAGATAGATGTTACTTAACATTTTACAACATGTAGAATGGGCAATAATAAAATGCAATTGCATTCCAAGTACCTTTAGCACTTCTTTCTGTTTGGTGTTGTCGACAGCTGAACCATTGGGAACCTCCTCTCCTTCAACGTAGTTCTCCCAAATCTGCAAAAAGAGAATGTAAATTAACATAGTTAACAGGAAGACAGCTGTAATAATGTAGGTATGTTTCTTCACATACTTTCAGTTTCTGCCTTTTTGCAGATTCCTCAGCTTTTTCAAGAAGGTGCCCATCAGGGATTTCACCGCCAAAGGAATTCTGATATTTTGCAAGGCCAGCTTCAACGAGGGCAACCGCCACATTGGTCTTTGACTCCCATAAAGATCCCAAGAAGGTCCCAGTTCTATCAACAGTCTCGACTTCAATCTGTAAAAGACATAATTTCATCAAAGCAAGAACATAACTAAGCGGCAACAAGAATTTAATGTTAAATGGGATTACCTCAACATCTCTCTGCATAATTCTTCGTCTCATGAGCGCAATTGCTTCTTCTGAATATGGCTCCTCACGCCCAGGACATCTGACACCAGAGAATGCGAAGGCAATGCTGCATGTTTCCTTGGGAATCAGTAATTTAAAACGATGCCCACTGAGGACATATTCCACAACGGCAGGAATTTTCCTCCTTTTCTGTAAGAATGGAAAGAAGTCCCTGGCTTTCTTTGCTGATGCCTGTTAGAGACAACACCAATTAAGGAAGGAGTGAAATTACATACCGATTGTTAGACACATCAATTGAGGAAGATATGAGTGACATATTATTTTATTACTCACCACTGTCAAGTCTGTAATGTGCATGACTGGAGATTCCTTGGCAGAATGTAATCCTTTCTTTCCAGCAGTAGCACGTGCTTCTGCTGACATGAGGGCATCATAATAGTTTGATCTCTCCTCAAAATCTCGATGTTTAATAACAGTGCCAAAGCCACGTGAAACCACCATCTCAGCAACATTCACACCAGCCTGCTGGCTGGCAGTCGCAGAAGAAGCAGGTGCTGGGGTGTCATCACCCTCAGCCTTGGTAGGAGATGCAAGCAAAACTGTTCCAAAATCCATTACCCTGGAATCGGCAGGTCCAGAAGTAGCTGCAGCTCCCTCTCCGGGGCTGACCTTCCTTGAATACTCCATTTGAACATTTACCTACAAAACATGCCAAATGGAAATATTAAAATTTATTTGGAACTAAAAGAGAGACTTCTATCATGAAGAAAACATTGAATCAAAACTAGATCTCATACTTGACGTCCAATGAGGCGTGTTCTCAGGAACTCTTTGGCTTCACGAGCATATGGAGCTGGCTTTTCTTCTCTACGAGGATTGCCCATTTTCGGACACCTAATACTTGAAAGATTAACTCGCCTCTCCGCCAGTGGACTGCCAAATGGAACAGAATCATCAGCGACAATCACACAGTCCCCACTTACAACCTCCACAACCTGGAAGAAAGAAAATCAATTACATGAGTACATATAACAGGACAAATCATAATGTTGTGACAAACATACATAACCATAACTTTCATTACATACTACCTTTCCTGTGAAATTCTGGTTATGAATTGCTTTTGAATTTGTAGGTGGGGCTGTGTAGTTTGTCCAAATCCTCAACTTGTTTTTCTTTGCTTGAAGCTCTGCAGTCTTCAGCCGCCGCTTCACATCGTCTTCCAGCGTGCTTGCACTCCATTCAACGTATTTTGCATAACCCTAAACAAAAGGTTTGAAGATTGTCAGTACGCCCTAAATATGAGTCTCAGGGAGGGTATAAGAGATTTACAATCTGACAATAAAGCATGCAATAAGCTGCACAGAAAGATTGAAAGCATGCCATAAATATTTCAACAGTCGGGGATAAGAAAACATTAGTCATCAATAATGTTAAATTTGAAATCACTGCACAGTTTAAGCTCTTACATTTTCAACAAGCTCCAGGGCCAAGTCTTTCGCCGAGTCCCCATCAGGGTAATATACTGACCCAATCAAATTACTGAACTTGTCATTGCCTTCCAGAACGATGCGGACCTATAAATCGACCACGATATTGATAAAATTGTAATAACAATGTCCAAGATAACCTGCAATAGAAAGTTGCTTACATCTCTATGCAACACACGAATTTCTGTAAAATGTTTAGCTTCCAATGCAAATGGATCTGCGGCAACTTCAACAGACGATGCTGTTGAAGCTAGAATCCTTTGAGCAGAAGTTAGAGGGGCTCGAGGTTCAGAAGAAACATCCCCATTTGTTTTATTGGATGTTGTTTCTGGTTCAGCAACTATGTCTGATGTTATAGGTCTCCTTCCCACCGATGGGGCCTAATTGGAATAGAGAAATTATGTTATATATACATGTTATTACTTTCAGAACAAAAGTCAGATATGAACAAAATCTTATGCATACATGTCCAGATTGAAGAAAGAAAACATACCTGAATTCCTGCAACGAATACTTGGACAAACTGAAAATCCGGAAGCAAGTAGGCCCTAACTGTGCTTCCATCCCGAACCTGCTCAACAATACATTCCATTGGCCTGCCCTTATTTTCAGCCAACAGACTCACGGCATCTAAGTTGCCAGCATTCCCGATAGCAGAGGGAGGTAGATTCCTTTTGGATGCTTCACCAGCACCAGGAACCTGTAATTATGAACAAAATAATCATGTTTCATGTCGTCAAATACATAACAAGTTTGAAGTCAACTTTCAACATGCTGCAACATGTTAGATGTACAATATAAGAAAAAAGGAGGGAAAGAATTTAACAAAGGAGGGAAAGAATTTAAGTACAAACCTTGCTATGAAGACCAAGGCCCTCGGTCCTAGCTTGCTCTTGGAGACGTAGCAGCTCTGCAATGTAAGGACTCGCTTCTGCTTTCTGTGGACCTTGCTTACCCTCCTTGACCTGCACAAACAGGATTCAGCTTACAGCCATTAGAAATAAACATTAAATAAACAATCAGCATCCAATAGAATTGAAAAGATAACTACCTTTGCCCAGCCTTCAGCAACAACCAGCATCGCAAGATTCTTGTCACCAAGGAAAACTGAGCCGAATTCCCGCCCTATCTGTTGTACAACATAGTCCACTCTGAAAGCCACCTCCTGTTTGGAAAATATAATGAGGTGGATGCATCATGGACATTATTATCAAAGATGACTAGTATGGAGATAATAAAGCACAAGCAAGTATTTAAAACAAGCACCTTTCCTATGCAGAGTTTCCTCAGAAACTCCCTGCTGCCCCATGCAAATGGCTCATCCTGGCCATCTCTACGAGCCTAGCAATAAAAAAAATCACAATAGCAAAAGCCATTCAGAAATGTCAGCGATCAATAGCAAAAAATTGAGCTAAAACAGAACCATCATCTGTAATTATAAGTCTCAAATGGACGAAAAGACCAAGAATTTACAACAATTCAATGCAAACGCCAAATTAAAAATACATAGGTGGATGAAACACAAAGGATGTTAATCGTTTTACCAGTTTTGGAGCCATAAGCGATGACAGAGTGATGGTTCTTTCCGGTGGGGGTCCGGCCTTGTTGGCTGTGAGGGCCATGACGACCAAGGAGTCCCCTGAAGGCACAGCCTTCACTCTCCCTCTGTACCATCCTGTGGAAGCTGTTGATGATGCCATCTCAACAGCCTTCTATAGTTTGACAGAGATCTACACCACGACATTCCAAAAAAAACACATCAACAAAAACCCAATTAAATTTCAAACAACACAACCCAATTAAAATTCAAAAAAGCCACAACCCAATTAAATTTTAATCACCAAATCACAATTAACATTAAATATCTCTCCAACCCAACATGCAAAGCTACAATCTTTACAAACACCACCAACCAAATCCGTATCAGAACGACACCATTCAGATCCAAATTCCATACCAACAACGACGTGAATCAATACGACAACGACACATCCCATACGACATGGTAAAAAAACAGCAGAATTAACCATTCGGATCACAAGATCTATCAATCACCGCAGATTGCAAAACCAAACAGTTTTCAGTCAAATTCATCTCAATTACGCTTAATGCAAACAATAACAATCCGATTAAATGATCCGAGACAAAACTTTCAACCCAGAGAGATCTAGGAACGCAATAGATAGAGGGATTACCAAGCTGGATCGGATCAGGCTATTCGGATCTATCCGGACCGACGAGGTTTATCCGATCCCTAGGTTCGTCGAAACAGCGTCGTCGAGCGGCGGAATCAAAAGCGAGAGCGACACGGAAAGAGAGAGATTTCGCAAGCTTTCAGACGCGTTGCGTATATAGACGACGGAGAGCTCTGCATCCAGCAATTCGTTTATATTTATACCCCGCGTTTTGGCTCGAAATTACCCAACATACCATGGTGGTCTTAAATTCTTTGCTTGGATATCCTTTCCATATAGGGATTATTTCAGAAAATTGGTTATTTTTAGATGGGGAATTATGAAATTACCAGTCTGTCCGGTGACCCAAAATCCATCCGGATGTAGGTTCTAATCCCAAAAGGATTTTGACACGGATTAGGACAACTTACCGGCCAACACTTTTACGATGTCATGTTTCTGGCATGTCTTGATTTCCTCTCTCCACGGGGTTTAATTTTAACCGATTACTCGATAAAAGACATCACCAACTCTCATGTCTATCCTCAACAAACAATAATAAGTAATATAAGGTCAAAAATGCAAAAGGCAAAGCACTAACAAGCAATTACAAGGATTTTTTTTTGGTTTTTTTTTTTTACATCATATGGAAACAAACATTTTATATATCGTGATTGGTAATTCTGATTTGTTTAAAGAATAAATTCTAACACATTATATGGATTAAACATACCAGACGTCATTGTAGTTGTATTCATATTTCCTCCTTGAGAGAAGAATACAACGCAACTAAACAAACCTAAAATTTATCTGATTTCATTTCCTTTTAAGAGATAATGGTCGTTTAAGTATTAACTTTACGTGACTTTAACCTTTTTTATCCTGTAATTGATTGCTTTTAGATATGTCATCTATCTCACTTTAATTCACTATGACACACTCCAAGAAGAGTTACTTCAACTGACTAGTATTCGTTAATTATTTTCCTCCCAATTTATATGATCAACAACGTCATTTGTCCCACTTTAAACCTCTATGTCACACTCTGAAAAGAGTTAATTCAACTGAACTCGATCAATTTATACGATCAACAATGTCATCTTGATTCGTTTGATTAATAAACTCTTACACAATATCCTGCCTTTTGTCGCTAGCTATGCGACGAATTCCAAAGATCTAAGGATTCCCTTTCTTTTTAAACGATAACGATTGCATCTGTATTAAATTTACATAACTTAAATGTCTATATGCAATAACGGATTGCTGTTAAATATGTGATGAGTCCCGCTTCAATCTTCTATGCCAAATCGCGTAAGTTGTTAATGCAACAGAAAAATTTGACATAATCATTAAAATGAGGACCAAATTAAACCACATGTAAAAGATATAATCATTGTCGTAAATAATCATAAAAAACGTAGATAGAGGACCTAAACTTTTCTAAAGAGAGATGATTTCCACAATCTTTTTAACATTGTGCCACGCTCATGTTGCTTTATCAGCCTGTGATTATCTTTTGAAAGAGATTATATTCACACATTTTAAATTACTTATTCCACATTCTTTTACTTTTTTAATATTTTTCTATCAAGTGTTAGTATTGTGTAGAAAATATTAAAAAATTAAAAAAATATGAGAAAAATAATTTGAGATGTGTGAATATAACATCTCATCTTTTGATTGATTCGATCCAAATGCGAGAGGGAATTAAGTGCAAACTTCACTTCTCTTTTCGAAACATTTTCCTCTTGTAATTACATTGAAAGTTGTTGTCCCAACAAGTACAAATCCTTCTTTCAACAAATCCAAGAAAAAATAGGGTATTATCTTTTGCAAATGAAAGTTGTACCTTTACTTCTACTTTTGTACTATGAAAATAACGAATCCCCTTTTTACCACTTTTTAATCCTGCAGGCCTAACAAAGTTCCATACCCATTTAATTCTGGAGTGTGATATTTCCACGTTTTTTTTTACTTTCAAATACTTTTTTGATTTTCAAATGTCGGATTTGAGGATTGAACAAGATCAAATAATAGAAATTAGTAAAAAATGTGTAAGAAGTAAAAAAAAATATGTAGATAATACATCTCTTAAGTGTTTAAAAATTAATTTACAATTAATTAATTAAAAAAAGTCTGCCTACTCACAGGCACACTGACGTAGACTCACAGTACCAACTTTTTTACCACTCTGGGTTAAAATCTAGCGAACTAGATACGGGGGGAAGAGGGAAATTTTTTACTGCGGCGGTAAAAGACAGTTGATGACAGCGGCACCGGTACTTTTCCAGTGGTGGCCTTCTGCTGCTGCTGCCACTTCCGCAACTGAGTCTTGTTTGCTTTAAGCAACACATGCAAATCTGCAAACTTCTTTTCTGACACTTTTAATTTCTTTCTTTTTTTGCCTTTTTTTTTTGTTGCATATGGGGTCATATTTTGGCTTAATTTTGATTAGGCGTCTAATTCCAAAATTAGGAAGCTGTTAAGTTTTCCATGAATTCAAAAAAGATACACTTCTGTTTTTGTGTGAACAAAAAGCAAGGTAGAACTTTTTATTATTGTTATTATGATATGTAATGTGACCCACAATTGAAAGGGTTCTTCAAGAGCTAAGAGGAAATGGGAAGGGACAATTTTTAGTTTTCTGTTATTTGTTTTCGGGAAGTATGCACAAATTAAATCAGTTTCAGATTTATATTAAAAAGTAAAGCTGAAGAAACGTGGAAATTTAATTACACCAAACACACAAGTTTTCTTTTTATTTACGAGGAATCACATTTTAAATGCAAAAGAGTTATTAAAGAACAACTTACAACTTACGTGTACCTCATTAGTACACTGCAACTACTGCATCTTATACCAAAGATATATTCATGTAAAGATATCTTACACGTGACATTGTGTCGATAACCAACCGAGAAGTCATAGTAACGATCCAAAGGGGTGCATAATGCATGCGGGTCCTTCCCCTCAAATACATAGGCCGGTAGGCCCTAAAATACACTTGATATTGGATTATACACATCAACCCAGCTTTATGAAACTTTTTTTCCCATCATATGAGTTGTAAAGTAGGAATGAAGATAAACGTGACCAAAAGATGCAACAGCGTGGGAGATCATGCAGCTTTGGCCGGATCCAGAATCGTGTCATTCAGTCCAAGATTATCAATCGGAGGTCACTTTCTTCCGGTGGTCACAAATGTTGGATTTGGTATGAAATTAGAATTGTATTCCTAACTAAAGTAGGAATCCTAGTTGTAATGAGTATAGGAAACTTGGACGCAAGTTTCCAGGTGGTGTTTGGATTCTAACTTAGTTTGGGATTAGGTTTGTGGCTAGGTTGTCTAGTATAAATATGTGTAAACCTTAACGTTAGGGTGTGTGAATTTGAGAGACTTGAGAGGCAGGAGAACTATTGTGAAGTTTATTGTGAGTTCTTTTGTAATCCTTTATTGATTAATAAAGTGAGCTTTTGTTGTTCATATCTTTGTGGTTGTTTTGGTTTAGTCATCTTGCTTGTGTTCCAACAAGTGGTATTAGAGCTTGGTTCAGTGATTAAGCCAAAACAATGACAACACCTGATGACTCCAGCAAGAGTGGAGATGATGAGGGCACTGAGGTTACCAAAACATTAGTGCAAAGTACTAGGTTCGAGATCGAGAAGTTCGTTGGGACCAATAACTTCGCTATGTGGCAGTGCGAAGTTAAGGATGTGTTGATACAACAAGGACTACTTGTAGTGCTTGAAGATATGCCTATGTCGATGAAGAATGAGGAATGGTAGCGGCTGAATGCGCATACATGTTCCACAATTTGGTTATGCCTTGGCAAGGCACAAAAGTATGGTGTGATGAATATTTCATCGGCCAAAGAACTATGGGATACACTAGAGTCCAAATATTTGAAAAAGAGTGCAGAAAATAGACTTTATCTTAAGAGTAAGCTTTACCGTTTCCAATATAAGGAAAGAACAAAGATGATTGATCATCTCGAAGAGTTTAAGAAAATGATTGCTGAATTGTTGAATTTAGAAGAGACGATCAAGGATGAAGACAAAACGTTGATCCTAATGAATTCTTTGCCTGAATCCTATGAATCATTTGTTATGACATGCATTTATGGTAGAGAAACTATTAAATTTGATGAGATCTCAAGTGCTATGATGAATCATGAAGTTCGAAATCTTGATAGACAAGAGAGGAACAACTCTGAAGCACTAATGGTGAGAGGAAGATCAAAGGAAAGAAAGTCTGCAAATATGAAGAAAAGCAAGTCTCGCACAAGAGGTAACTCAAGCAACAGAAAATTCTTGGATAAAGATGGGTGCGCTTTTTGCCATGAGAATGGACATTGGAAGAAGGATTGTCCTAAAATCAAGGCTAAAAACAAGGAAAAAAAATATGAGGATTCAGAGGTAAACATTGTTGAAGCTGATGATGAGGATTTTGTTTGTGCCCTAACAGCAGCGGAAAGCATAGACTATGTAAATCAATGGGTGCTTGACACTGGATGCACTTATCATATGACTTCCCGACGTCATTGGTTCTTATCTTTCAAAAGTATCACTGGAACTGTGTATATAGGTGACGATAATCCATGTTCAACGCTAGGGATTGACAATGTTATGATTAAGCATCATGATGGTGTAGTTCGTGAGTTACAAGGAGTAAGATATTCCAGACCTCAAGAAGAATTTAATTTCCTTAGGCACCCTTGAATCCCAAGGTTGCAAATTTTATTCTGAGAATAATATACTTAAGGTAGCTAGAGGGGCATTAGTGATAATGAAGGCTCCAAAAAGAGGTTTGCTTTACTTGTTGGAGGGCAAAACCATGGAAAAATAGGTGGCTATGGTGGCAGAAGGTGATCAAGAGGATACATCTTCTCTATGAAATATAAGGTTGGGGCATGAGGGAAACAAAGCACTGCAAGGGTTGATTAAACAAGGGATTTTAAAGGGAGCCAAAAGTGGAAAAATAGATTTTGGTGAACACTGCGTTATTGGCAAACAAACAAGGGTAAAATTTGGCACTGCAATACATCAAACTGAGGGTATATTGGAGTATGTACACTCAGATGTCTGGGGACCTGCAAAGAATGAATCTTTAGGAAGGAAGAGATGGTTTGTGTCCCTTATTGATGATTATTCACGAAGATCATGGATTTATATGATGAAGCAC